CGTACTGCTGAGGAATTGGAATGTACCAGCAGTAAGGTGTTTCCCTCAGCTGACCGGCATGCCAGCTATACTGTCTCTTTACTCTGAAGACAGCGGGTTAGAAAAGGTCAACCCCAACAATTGTACATCTCGACTTACCCTATGGTGGTCCGTAACCGGCGGTAAGTTACTAGTACGGAACCAATCGAAGAAACCAGTTCATACAGGCCATGTGTGACCGGCCTCAAACAGTTGTCCCCCGGACTCTGCTGTCATGCAACACTAATTCTGTTTCTGTTCAGGTACCCCAAGAACCAATCAACCTCCACGGTGTGGGCAGCGGGGAAGTAACAGCCACCCACACACTTCCAAAAACACACGAAGCCTTCCTGATCATCATTCTCCTTTATTCCTGTCAGCCTCATCATCTTGCTACCCTACTACAGTCAGTACTATTCTGCAGGCTGACAAGTCATCTTCACTTCACTCAGCGACCACAAACAACGATGAGAGCCATAGCTTAATAGCAGAAGGCAAGACACGGAAGTAAACGTATATTTTCAATTGATCAAACCGCCATTTATTTTCACACAGTTTATATTCTTTAACGAGTCACTGAGCGTGCGACTTTGGTTCACATAAAAAGGCATGAAATAGAATGTTCAAATATACATAGTATTCTATTTCTAATGCAGTATTGAATTGTAGGAACATGTGAGATTAATATCCTGTTGGAACACATTGTCTGTATCACATCACCACAATAGAAACACCCTCGATAGCCTCTTAAAGCCAGTCAGTAAGTTACAATATCTTCACTTTTGGCCACATTATTTGCATTTATTTTTCTTTTAAACTGTCAACAGGTATAAAATTCTGTCAGTTACTAATGTCCAAACTAGTATATGGTCATTGGGAAACAAATTAAAGTATTTATTCGCTTTTTATTACTTTCGTAAAAACAAGCTTTCGTCATCATCACATATTTCTTGAACATCCCAACTAAAACAACTTTTAAACGTTTGGCGAAAATGTATGTCATTATTACCGATGGAATAGAAGAGAACATTAACTGAGGTACTACAACTAATGAAGTAATTATACCATGGTCGTATTAAATTTAAGGCGAGAGTAGTAAGTTCTTGTAACTCATTTTAATTTAGTCGATGTCAGTTAGATACACTTCTAACTAAATGTGAAACGGCCCATAACACAGAAATAACAGACGCTTTCATTTTCTTATTATATTATTATTCCGTTGCGTTCCGAGTGGAATATAGGGCTTCAGAAACACATCTAGACTTTGTTCCATTCTCTGCTGCGCTATTCAGCTGCGTCCACGATTGCCAACAATCCCTCATCTCCTCCTCCTAACACGATCTCCTCCACGTCACCCTTGCACCGACGACACACTCGTCGCCTCCCATTCGGATTCTACTCAACCTATGCCCTGCATTGAGCCCGATGTCATTCGACGCCCACCCACCAACAATCGTATGACTGTTCCATCTCCATTTTCCTTGCATATTTGTTGAACGATCGGCTCTTGGCTGGTTCGTCACCAGCCAGGTTTTCATGTTACTAATTCTCTCTGACCAGCCATTTCACCTTCAGTATGGAGCGAACCAGCCAGCCAGCCAGCCAGCGAAGACTGCTGTTGATAAATGTCTGCAGTAGCCTGTCGCAAATCCTCTTCGTGACTAACACGCAGTGCAAGTTTCTGACCCACACAGAAGAAGTGACTCACAGACTGACTGACTTCACACTTGTCTTGAAAATCCGAATCTCGTTGATTAAGCTGGCTGAGTTCAGGAGATTTCCAAACTGGGTTCAGGTTGATGAAGGCGTGAGTATCTTGCCCTCCCGATTCCGACTGACTGACTGGCTGGTTGGCTGTCTTTGACATTTTCATCCGTTCTGACTGCCTGTAGTTGAAACGATGCTGCATAGCTAGACAAGTGAAGGCAGTGTGCGAACTCTGTCGAATCTCTCCCGTTGATGGTGATTGGTGCTGGTTGTTGTTGTTGTTGCTGTTGGTTCTGGTGGTGGTAGTGGTGGTGGTTGGTTACCTTCATCACCTCCATCTTCTCTATGTTCACCTGGGGTCGTTTCTTCGCTGCCTGCCTGCATGCCTGCTTCTTCAGCCAGTTGGTTGCCAGTTTTCGCCAGTCTGCAAGCCTTCGACTTCCTCTGACATTAGACAAATATCATCCACACGCGAAATCCACATCTTCTGGAGTCTTCTCATCGGTGGTCCAGCGTATTCCTGTCTCCTCACTCCCAACTCGCAGTCTGACGCATAATTCAGTCCATCACAATCGGAAATATCATTGTGAGTGATAATAGGCAGGCAGGCAGGTAGCAGGCTGGTTGGTTGGTTGACTAGCTAGTTTGTCTTACTCCTGTATTCACTTCGAACGCCTCTCTGAGTCTTCCGTTGTGGATCACCTGACTAACACGTGCCAGGCATTGTCATATAGTCAGCTGCTGAATCAGGTTGTCAAAGACTTGAGCACCGCACGCCACCGTAGTATTGAAGTAGTTTCCAGATCACTTCCCTGTCAACGCTGACTGTCGAAGGCCTTTTCTTAGTCGATGAAGGAAGTTGAGGTAGAGAGAGACAGAGATAGGTTTGACTGTCATTCTATGATTTGTTGTGTGATGACGATGCGTAGAGTTGGCATTTGATCAGCAGATGATTTGCCTTTCGTGAATTCAGCCAGCTCGTTGTGTTCGGTGGGTGGCGGAGTTGTGGATCCAGTGCATCCTTCTTTCTCTCCAGACGCTTTGATCTAGATAACAAAACGAAAAGTTTATCAAATGGAATATGTAGATTAAGCGAACTAATCAGTATTAAGTTATATTTATTCTGATATGACATTATAAACTCTGGGCACGAACACTTATGGAGTCACGTCATATACACGTTACTACTATCTTCAAATGAAGGAAGTCCAAGAACAGCATGAGTGTTCAAGTTAATTTCGGTAATACACTATAGTAATGGTAAAATCCTATGTTTTAGCAGGTCAGACGCGTACCTCAATTCCTGGCATTTCAATATCACATTCTATTACTAAAATCTAAAATTTTACTTTATCTTAGGTACCATAATATTGTCATGTATGAAAAAAGTGAATGTATATCATAAAAGGATTTTAGTGATGATGTGATTTTTTCAGTTTTATAATCGATAAAAGCATATGATGATGTGAAATAATCTCAACCACCTTGATTATTTCGCTATTCAGTTGTAAATCTACGCAGCTTTATACAAAGAGAAAGTTAAGCCTATAATTACAGTGGAGAGAGATAGACTAAATTCATATCATTAAATCACAAGTAACGCATATATATATATATATATATATATATATATATATATATAATGTGTTTAGGTGATAGAAGAACAATGCGTTAAAACATCTTCTTTCTTAACTTTTCCGAAGCGCTTAGTAGCAATAGAAATGGAAACTCTTTTCGTTTACCCGAAAGTCTAAATACTGGTAAGTGCGTTCGGCTGACAGATAAAACGTGAATGTTTAACCGAAAAAAATGATTTATGAGGATGACAAGAATTTTTCTGGAAAAATATTTGAAAATTAGGCAAAAGTTTACTAGTGCTTCACTTAAGACTGAGGAAGTGTAAACACTTCTACTCTCAAAAATGTCTTTTAAAAAGTGTTCCATAAAGTTTTAAAATGAGCTCTGTCATAATGAAAATATGCTGACTATGTCAGTCCTTTGAATGTATACAGTATTAAATTAAGCCTATCGCAGTTTTCATAAAGAAATTTTGTTTTGAATGCATCGTCACTAGACAATGAGGTTTTATTGATACATATTTCGAAAATAAGGTGCCACGTTGTATAATGTCAAATTGCTTATCCAACGACACACTTCTTTGACAGAGTTCTTTCTGTAAAAAATCTCATACAGAGGGTTATTGATAAGTGTCCAGTAATTAATTAGGATGCCTTGTTTGATTTTAACGGGGCCAGATGCAATGCAGAAAACTGTCGAAGAACCTGACTAGAAAACCAAGTGTCATTTGAATGTTTAAAATAATTCGAACTCAATGATAATTCTGAATGGATTTAGCTGATAAGCACAAGAATTGGGTTATCGTTCTTCATCAAGTCAACACACGGTTATACGGTACTTTTGAGAGAATCTGTTTTTATCCTGAAACCTTTGTAATAATTAGCAGCATGAATTTTCAGACAAACAAGATTACTAAAATTCGTGTTCTAGTGGTATACTGCATCCTGACTTCGTCTTAACAGCTTTATTCTGAATTCATTACCTGTTTGTGTGAAACATGCATTAGACTTCTCATAATTTGATGTATCATGTGTTTATGAAAAAAATGAAGTGAAATATTACTTAACAGTCACTTGCCATTCTACATAGTTTGCAGTGAGACACACCTACTGTCTGATACTAACTGCCTGCTAGAACCTCTGTAATTAAAGTGGATTTCGAATCGATAGAACACTAGTTGGATACCAATCCCCTACAGAAGAAACCCCACAAATTTTAACTTCTCCAAACAGAAGGTATGGCAGTCATCTCAGGAAGACGTCACGAGTAAACCGAAGGTCTTATACAGGTATAATTCTCCTCTCTAGTTGACGAAATATAAAGTTGTAAAAAAGTATGTCCAGCTGTTTCTCCATTGCCGGTAGCTAGGAAAATCTAAGGGAAACTTAGTTGCAGGTACAGATCATGTACTACATAACTGGCTTTCACAGTTTCCAACACTAGACGCAATGGAAGCTGTTCAAATAGGATGAAGTTATACGAAGACTGAATACAACCAATAACGATAGGTATGATAATCACAGTTTCTGAGCAAATACTTTGAGAAATTATATTGAAAAATATTATGACTGAAATCGTATCTAATTCCGAAATCACACACACACGCACATACAAATAACATGCATACGAAGCATACTTAAAACAGAAGACAAATTGTAGGTCATTTAAATAAACTCCTACAAGGATAAAACTGTGGTAGAGTATAACTCCATTATGGATAAAATTTTATTTTGATAAAATTACACAGTGTTATACAGTAATATTTACTGATGACCACGTTTCGAGCACAAATTGTTCACAATCATATCAAGTTACTCACACAACTTTCTTGCTTCATTTATATACATGAGTAAAAATTGATAATTAGACATTTGAATAAAAACAATATAAGATAATGTACATTCGGAAATAATATCAGTGTTATCAATACAATACAATAGGATGGGAAATAAGATGGTTTTTAAAGTAAAATAAGTAACTTGTTAGAATGTTATAATGTGAATTGAATACATTTTAACATTATTATCCTCTGATTTGACTGGTAATAATATATATTCCATATCTCTTGTATTTGCGTTGAGTCATTTCTGTTGCATGTGTTGGGTGTAGACTCAATGAACCAGGCAGGATTCAGTAATTAATCTCTCTCTCCTTCTACCTATATTACTTCTTAGAATTTTGACTCTGTCCCACCCACCCTGTTGTGTGTTAATGCATGCGGTGCGATTGCTGAGCTTTTTTTTCTAAATTACTTATCTTCGTGGGATCGATCATTGTAACCTCAGCTAAATTCTTATGTTCTGATAGTCTCACTACTCCCTATCTGCTACTTTGACCTAACTCACAGTTATTGCAAAGTATTTTGTAAAATATATTGTTTTGTTTAATTGGGTCCACTGCGTCCTTTAGTCTATAGAGCTTGTCTCTGAGTGAGTTTGTAGGTTTGAATCCCTATTGCTTTGAACGCTTTATTGAGAATCCTACATAGGGTCTCAGATGTCCCTCCTTATATGATGAAACTGTAGATGTCCTATATTCCTTCTTATTTATGTTATCATTATTAGCCTCACCATTACTTTTATTTTGCTTTCGACCTTTCTTGATCTTCCTAATGAATTTTATAGCATGGTTAGTTATTTAACACCAACGCTTCTTCGATCTGTTTCATTTCATCATTTAGGTTTTTTGTTGTACTACTTAGTGCTATTGCTCGGTTTGTTAGACACTTAACTAGGTCTGCCTTTATAGACAACGGATGAGATGAATTCAAATCTAAATATCTACTAGAATGCGTTGGCTTTTTATAAACGCCAGTGTGCAGTTTATCTTCTTCTGTTCGTTTTATTTTGCAGTCTAACATAGCTAACTCTCCTTGTTCATTTTCCGATTCAAATGTGAATTTTATTCCCATTACTAGTGAGTTTATATGTGTGAAGAAACTGGAGGTATGTTCTGTCTTCAACACTGTGAAAGTGTTATCCACATATCTCCACCATATTTTTGGAGTAGGACTAAATATATTAAGAGGTATATTTTTTCCCATTGCTACACCTGTTTGTCTACATATTTCGCCCTAGAATTTAAAGATAGTTACGTGAGACATAACTGAATTCCTAATTCAGAAGGGCATAAATCGAAATTAAAATTGTGAAATTCAGGTATTTTTCTTAGTTATAAAGGTATTTCGACTTTTAGGAATTTTAATGTCAAATTATATATATATATATATTCACTGTACATGGGCAAAAATTATTACATTTTATTAACACCTGAAAAGGCAACACAAAGAAAATAACAATAATAACTTTAGGGTGGCTTTTTAGATAGCGACTTAAACCAGCATGCTTATTCAACACTTTAAAAGCAAATACAATACCTCACTTCATGAATTCTTCAACACACAACATTTTCACACATGTTTTATGAAAAAAGTTGGAAGTAAGTGTAGAAGTTTTGAAGTTTCATTGGTATTATGAGAATCCTGCATTATATGTGGTTTGCTTAGGTATTTTTATAAGGCTGGACAGAATTGATTTAACTTATAAAACTAATAAGTAGGGCATGAGTAACTTAGACTTTTAAGAAAAAAATAACCAACACACTCACCATGTTACCCTTTTAATGTGTGCTGAATATAGCATACATTAGCGGCTTGACTTTCACCAGTCACCGAATTCAAAAGTTAATCACTGAAATTTGCACAAAAGTATCATCCATTGCAGCAGAAGAGTTAAGAATGGAGGGATAAATCCAAAGACAGTTTTAGATTGTGAACAAGTACCATCATGAAGTTGCATAACTTAAGAAGTGTGAATTATCAGAGTTAACTAGTTGTCTATTAAATTGCATGTTCCTATATTTAGCTTCACACTAATTTATGAGTTTGCACCACTAGATAGTCTGTAAACAGGAATAAACACCAGTTCAATTATCCATGGTTCTGTGACAAAGAAAAATAGTTATAAGGAAGTGATGACCATTAATTTAGCATTGGAAAAGATTTATTTTGCTTACCACGAAACCAAAAAGGATGCTGTGTGACAAATACGTCGTGGAACGAACTACTTCATTCCTCTTCGTAACACTCCATTGAACTTACTTGATTGTAAAACAAGTTATCGTAGGTCTAGTAAGTCTAATTTCCGGGTAGATGTTCGCTGTTTGCTTTAATTTTATTAATACGGAAAGTTGAAGATTACGAATTAAATTTTTCATCTACTATGCATAATACTAAAACTATTTATTTAAGAAAATTTTCTAATTCTGGTGTAACATTAAATGAACCTGCTGGAATGTCCTGAATTTTCATAATCGTCTGTGTACATCTTTAAACGTAACTTTAAAAGGAAGAAGGATTCAGATATTTCCGAAAATTCAAAAGTTCTTCATCTAAAAGAACCAATTACATATAGTGATACAAAATAATTATTCAGCTTGATTTTTCACAATAACTAATAATTCTTAATAACTTCAAAATCAGTCATGTCTAGTTCTTAAATGAAATCCAAATCTTGTTCAAACAACGTATAGTTTGTTGACTTTTAAAGCGATAGTATCTAAGTCTTTGAAACCTGTTTCTCCCTTTATGACTAACCTCCACACCTGTTTTAGTTTTTTACTATTAAACGTCATCCGTGTTATTTTTACATAATTCCTAAAACAACACCGACTTTTTGTATTTCATCTATTTTGATGAGACTGCCAATGGATTTTTGGTTTCTCTATGATTTAGGCAAACTTTATTCATTCCTTACTAATTAGCAGTCTGTTTAGTTGTTTTTTTTAACATCGGAAATAACTTTTCAGCAGTACCAAATGGCTTTATAACTGCCATTAACGGTATCTACTGTATGGACATCCTCACGAAACGCAACCCTCAATGAATGTTCACTTTAAAAAAACAAACAGATTTGTTGGATAAAGATGTCTGCAATACATTTCTTATTTAACATTTTCTTATACTAATTCTTCAGTTACAGAAGTTCTGATTTCATATCTTTTGATGCAAAACCATGATTACAAAATATTAAAAAACACAATTATTTCAGAAGACTACTTTCAAAACTTTTTTCGGTATATAAATTTAGCACATGCCTGACTGATTTTGTTCAACATTTTGTTAAGTTATTCAAATATATAGATAAATTAACATCCATATTCTTGTTCACTAAGTATCTTGTGTGACTGTATGGTCTAAAAGCAAATGCTATACAGTTATTCACAAACATACACACACACACACATCTGTGAACACAAAATTACTTTATGCATATTTACTTCTTTGTAAAGATTGTATTTTGCATCATTCAATTCACTTTAAATGCAGAAATATCTGTGTTTTTTCTTTCGAATGTTGAGTAACGGTATCACTTGAATGTTTAAGGAAAAGTCTGTTCAGTAAATGACTTCGAAGTCATTCATCAACTATTCTATCTACAACCTTTAAATCTTTAATACACCTAGTTGTGATGCCGATAAAGTGCCTACTGTTAGCCTGCAGGCTAAAATTAAAGGTAATTTCTCAACAGAAGAGTCATGAAACGTGGAATACAATAAGGTAAAGCATGAACGTCATTCACATTGATTCCCAGGATTCACTAATCACATCAAGGTAATTTGAACAGCAACTAGTAGCTCTGTTAATTCTAGGTTTAACTTCATGGTGCTAGTGATTAACAAATATAAGTCAAACAGTTGGACCGTTTTGTTCAATTCAATGTATTCTGCTAACAGGAATGAAATGGCATATTAGGAATCAAGTGACCCCTTATATTCTTTATCAATTAGAAATTTATAGGCATTTTTGTGCTAGCCTCAACCATCGTAAACTAAAAACCCGACAGATTAGTAAATGTTTTAGTTCTTTTAAATATGATCAAAAGTTTCCAGATTGAAATGAGGGGTAATTCAAAAATGTAGTGATATCACCGTTGTGAGGATATTAATGAATTATTTTTCTGCATGAATAACGACCAGTCCGACTATTACCTGTCAGCAGTTTAGAATATTCAGATGTGACGATCAGTTTCATTGTCAACAAATATTAGTCTTATTCTGAGTTAAGTAATTAGAAAGTTCTAGCATTTGTTTAAATTATTCCACTTAAACTGTTTTCAAAATCACAAATTGGTACAAGTTAGAATTCATGAGGCATTGAATCGGCTCCAAGTGGCTGAATCGTATACGAGCCTGCCTTGTAACCGGAAGGTCCTGGGTTCAAACCCCAGTGGGTGCGTACTGCCGATGTTTCCCAAACTAGGATGAAACAGCTGTCCAGTACTCCCTGGTTTTCAATGGTTCTCTAACTGATATCAATCCGTGATCAACTAGTAAAAACAAAACCAACCCTCACAAACCAAACTATAGAATATTTTTTAAAAATATTGGCCTCAAATTACGCTTCTATATGAGAAGAAAAGTAAACGATTCGATTTGACAAATTTCACTTTATTAAGTACTTTCAAAGTTTTGATAATTGTGTATTGTAGAAAGGTTCATTCTCCACTTCCTCTTGATGAAATCGGTTAACTTTAAATATATTTCTGAAACACGATATTAGAATACTTTCCTCTTATGAACTAGTTAGTCATCAAACTCCTATATTTTTAAGTCACTTCAGAAAACTTTTATTTATGCCTTGATGTTTTTCGAAGCCTTTATTACATTAACTTCCAGAAAAAACTAAGCTTACACTATGTGGACATAATAGCTTAAGAGCCATATAGTAAAACATCAGTAGCCATATCATGAATTGGAACTATTTGATCTATGGCAACAGCAAAAGTAGGTAAAATGACCATGAATAATACGAATTTTATGCTGAGCCAACAGTGTTGGACACGCCATTGCAAGTCTGTATGAGGTGATTAATAAAACTCAAGTCTTGAATGTCGCGCATTTCAATAACTGCCGTTTGAATGGAATAAGGCCAAACGATTTTGTTGACGCTAAAAAAATAAAGTGAAATATACGTGAAGCTGGTGACCATAAGTTCACTAAATCAATAGGAATGTCCAGGTCGAATGCGTATTCCTATAACTCAAGAAATCCTTACTCCAAATAATTAAATAGAAAATCATTTTGTAAATTAACTTAATGGGTGATGACTTAAGGTGAAATTAAAACTTATGGCAACAAAGTCATTTCGGTGAGATGTGAAGAAAGAAATTCTACGTATCGCGAATTTGCGGAAATTCAATAAACAGACCGATGGATTGCGACTTAATTAGCCAGTGATTTTATATGAAATGATAGTCCTAAATTCTACTCAAGCAGTCTTAGATGGTTATCCCTTAAGAGTTACATACTAGGACAAGCCAGACGTCTAGACCTTTCGTGTTTTCAGTAATTCGCTTACATCTTTCACTATTATTCACTGGATCCAGTTAACAACACTGAATTACTATGTGGTTTACCAAGTAAACTACAATGTCGAGTTAAACTCAGATTGTTTACTCATTCAATTTAACAGTCACTGTCATCCAACTATAGCAGTTGATGGTTATTATGATTCATATTATTATTATGATTCATCTCATATGAGAATGCAGACCTTTTCAAATCAACCGTTTTAAGTTGCTGCCTCGATTACATCAACAAAAAACCCAGCCTTCGTAAAGTACTTTCCAAAGAACATCGAAAGCAACTGAAAGAATTGAAGGATAATGAAAACTTGATCATCACACGACCAGATAAAGGCTCCGGATTCATATTTCATTAATCAAACAAAATAGGCTGCTCATGATAAATTTTATATGATTATAATAACGGAACAGAAATTCCACTAAAGTAAAGCATAAAACCTAAACTATTTGACCTTACGTAAATGTTCATTTCCACTTCTTTTTTTATAAAATTACTCGTTCATTTAATAAATCTTTATTTAACTAAAGTTATCTTTGCATAATAAGTTCATTCTTGCTATCAAGTTTATTTGGTAAGTCCAGATAACAAAATAAAGAGGAAGATACTGGATAATTATGAAGATAATAATAATAATAATGGTGAAAAGGGTCACAATAATCAAGCAATCAAATCAGCAAATTTCAGCAAGCCAGAATTTAGTGAGGAAAAAAGCTGATACGTA